AAAAGGTTGTCTGTTTTTTTTTTTTTATGTCAAGGAGACTGCAAACTTATAAAAAGTTATTTCTTGTTATTTCTGTCTTGTAAACTGAAAAAGTCATAATTTGCTATCCAACAAAAGCATTTTCATTTGCATATTGGCTCAATGCAACAAAGTTACCAAAGCTATTAACTGTGAAATACAATTACAAAAATGTTTTAAAACACTTCATAGTAAAGCAAGTAATGTGATTTCTTCTTCCCTCCCAATGTTTTATGATCTCATTCCTGCTGTGTGGAAGTATCATCATTTCTCAACAGTGACTCCTAATGTTTAGGAAGAGAGTTATACAAAGAGCAGCACTGACATTAAAGAGTAGCTCTGCAATGTTGACATCACAGTCCCTCCAGGACATCAGAAATACGTAAGTAACTATCCACTTTAGTTTTGTTTGAGTCATTTTTTGCCCGTTCACTATTTTCTTTCTTTGCATTGTTTCTTGTTTCCTCCAAAACTTCTCTAAGGATTTAAAGGAGCCCTCTGCTATATGTTTAACATTCAAAATGTGTGCCTTAACAAATCCTGCTCATAGCCAACTGCAAGGAAATGTACATTTCTGAATATTAGTGTCCTTTCAAGCAACATTGGGATGTCATTAAACACCATTTTTCAGTCACATTTTCATATCATGTAGTTATTATAAACTTTTCTGGTTAAACTTGTATCAACTTCTGACTTCTACTGATGTCATTCCAGCTCTGCTGTATCAATTAAATTCAGTTTATTTATATAGCACCAATTCACAACACATGTCATCTCAATTCACTTTAAAGAGACAATTCAACCAGATCATACAACCAGATTGGTTTAAAGTTTTCTATCTAAGTTGAAAACCAGTTGATTGCATCGACTGATTGACTCGAAGGCAATCCCTCACACTAAGCAGGCTTGTAGCGACAGTGAAGAGGAAAAACTCCCTTTTAACAGGAAGAAACCTCCAGCAGAACCAGGCTCAGTGTGAGCGGCCATCTGCCGAGGCCGACTGGGGTTCAAGGAGACAGAAGCAGACATAATCAGCATCGCTGTATCAAACGTAACAAAGAGAGATACTTTACATATCTGCTACCCCTTTAAGCCATGACATGGTTAAATTAGCGAACTTATTATGTATGAAACTGAGCTATGGTTAAATTTGTAATGACCATGCATCAACACTTTGTACCTGCTTTACCAGCTGATAACTGAAAGAAATTCACCAGTATGTATTAATTATTTAAACGTATAAATAATATGTAGTAGAAATACATCGATTAGAGGTCTTAATCTCTGATATTTCTAAAGTAAGCTGGCTTATCTGGTGCAAAAAGAGACAAGAACCAAACTGTATGTAAATGAGGTCTAATTTAAAAGTCAGTGGAAAGCAATTACGTTTAATATGTAATATTCTGGCATTTTTTCTCAATAATTCCTCAAAACACCCGAGTTGGACTAAAACTAAACTGCTGTACAATAGTTAAGTACCCAGGTATAACATGGAGGATGTTGGGAAAAGCAAATTGACCCAGAGCCGTTTAACTACTGAACAGGTATTTATCATACATTGCAGTATAAAAGCATTATAGACACAGATGGCTTTTTTTCCTACAACACCTCTCTTGCCCAACACATTTTCTGTTTGCATCACTGGCTGCTGCAGTGCCATAATTAGTAGCTGGATGTGACACATGTTTCCAATTTGCTACGTCTGGTCATTGCACCGAAGGGAGGGAGTGACAGAGCGAAGAAAAGACAGAGACAGATGGAAACTGACAGAGGAAAGAAAAGAGACGCTGAGAGTATAGAGATGAAGAAGCATGAAGGCAGCACAGGAGGCGATTTAAGGTGGTGGAAGATAAGGCGGAGGCCAGCTGCAGGTGGACGCTCCGTACTTCAAAGCTGCGTATTGAGAAAAGGTCCGAGGGTTAACAATGTGACAGTCCATTTGCTTCCAAGGCAACATGTGAACCATACATGCACTCACTCCGGCGCCTGATTGATATAGGAGCTACTGCTCCTGCTTGCTCTTCGCCCCATTTCAGGGCTAAGAACCTCAGATGTGTGTGGGCTCCGGGAGCTTATCGCTGGAAGATGCACGCTATTTAAACAAGCAGCGGCTCTCAACATATTTCAGCCCTGAGCAAAAAGCTATTTCGCCCCAGGGTTAGCCGAAACTAAAGCGCAGCTCTTGTCAAGTAGGCAGAAAGGAGAAACAAGCACATAAAAGTATGTAAAAGCACCAGGAAAATAAACTCGCGGAATGACTAAGCTGATTAACTATGAATAGTAAGCTCCATGAATAAGCCTCATAGTATACAATAGGCTTTGTACTTTGAATATATGAGTGAGTAAATCTGCAGGAATGACTGTGAAGTCTGGCGTCTAATTGCCAGTCGGGCCCGTTCGCTGAGCCCTGACATCCACCCGAAGCTAAACTCCATTAGGAGACAATAGCGTGGAATCACCTGTAAGGCCTCAAAAAGCCAAAGCTCTATGCTTCCACAGTGGAAATTACCCTCCCGTGTCCAGCTCTTACACTCCCCCGTTGGGTGAATCCACCCACTGCTGACAAAAAGCCCTCATTAACGGCTTCGTGCCTCAATTCACAGCGGGGGCCCACGCACGGTCGCTCAGGGCAGGCCGTGGCCTACAGCACATGAAAACCTGTTAGCCCCCCTGAAAAAAAAAAAAGCCTCTGGCATGGGTGTGAGCTGAGGATGGTATTGTGGGTTTGCCATCGGCATCTTTCCACAATGAGGTGTGTAATGTAGGCACATTCACCAGGAACATGAGCTATTCAAGACCAGTGTTCCATGCTGGCAGTTTTTCATCAAGCTGGAAAATATCTCTACGCTAATTTACTCCCAATTTTACCTGCTCACAAGCTATGGCCCCCTGAACACAACCTCCGCCTCCACCTTCTCTTTCCAGGCCCAGACACCACTCAGGCAAATTGGCAGAGCTGCAAGGAGAGTGGTGTCGGGCGTCAAGGCTGGACAGAGGAGAGGTGTTTAAAATGGCATTTCCTTAGTCTATAATACGACTGACACCTCCGCCAGAGCACCGGAGCAAATTAAGGATGCAAATGTGAGTGTTGGAGTGGGCAGGGGATTGTGTTTGAGAGCTGTACCGGCGCTCAACCTGGACTTTAATCAAGGTCAGCCAGCAGCAGCAATTACTGCATCATACGAGAGTCATATATCTACAGGTCCCAGAGATTATCTCATGGGGGAGCAACCTTACCTGTAGAAATTTGCCCCTCCAAATATCAGACACTCTTTTATGTACAGCTGGTTTTTAAAGGTTAACTTAAGAAAAGAAAAGGGAGGGTTCCTTTGAGTTTCAAAGCTTGCTTGACTCATTCACACCAATTTTTGACTCACCCCCACTGTGTTTGGCACTGATACTGCATTAAGAAAATTTTGCCTACTTTGATGGTTATTTGTTTTCTCTACTTTGCATTGGTTCACTTTGGGTCAAAACATCATAAAAATACTGAAATTCATGACAAAATAAAAACAGTTAGTGCTACCAAGCAATGCCAATGTTTACTCTTTTTTTCATTCAAAAGGTTCAGACTGTTATATCACGACAACAAAAAGTATCAGAGGTTCTATTTTGCAACAAATTTCAGTGTAGCCCTCCCCCACCTGTTGATACTACACTTTCCCCTTGTTCACAGAAACAAATAAATGTGTCTGTTTAGAAAACATTTGGCCATTAATTTAAGTATAAAAAGCTTCACCAGCTCCCTTTCATTAAGGCCATACTTGTTAGGCAACAAGCAGTTAGTCTGTCCAGCAGCAGACTGCTGCGGACCTTCGGAGCAGATAGGCCAACTAAATAATGAGGTCATGTCATTTTATTTTATATTCATAGACTCCATTTGTCTTGGGAGTCAGTTATTTTTTTTTTTTTATTTAGAACCAATTGCATCCTGAATTTGAGCAGATTTTAGATGTAGGCCAAAAAAACATGGGATGCCCTTTAAACAGCACAAGCTGAATAAACGATTTCTCCAAAACATGAAGTGGAAAAATTTACTTAAAAGATTATATAGCATTTTGTGTGACACTGGTTGTATATATAGAGAGAGATAAAATGAGGTTCTACACTAACTATGTGCATCTTAACTATATTAAATATTAAACCTGGGGCTCACCTCCAACTGTTCCAGTCAATATCCTGAATATTAGGTCCAATTTTATGGTATTTCAATCTGGGAACATGGAAAATGCAGCGATATTCCAAGATAATCTTAACAGAATGTAGAAAATACCTGCATTCTATACTCTTGCTTTAACATTTATATAATTTTTTTTTTTGTTTGTTTGTTTGATTATTTTTGCAGCTTTTGGTTTTAGGTTCTAAATAAAATCATACAATATTCTCTAAATCCCCCCCACCCCCCAGAAGCAACCACTTTGACAACCTTCTAGAGCCGCATCTGCTTTCCAGCAGGAGGAACCTGCATCCGATTCCCTGTTCTGTTTGTGAACAATTCAGACTAATGTGGGATATTCAGAGAAAAAACATAAACTGTTGTTAATTGTTTATTTGATTAAAAAAAGAAAAAAAAAACTGGGCATTGAAGTATGCACAACAGGGTCTGTGCTTAAGGAAGGCCTAGTCTCTAACTTTATTGTTCATGTCATGTTAGATCAATAATCTCCTCGGCTGTTGGTTAAATCCACAAGTTTCATAGATTTTGTTGTATATTCTTTTCCCATCGAGCATAAAGACGTTGAAAGACGTCCAAATGACTTCTACATTTGATTAAAAAGTGAAAAGCTGTAATTTTTCAGCTTTATTGGATTAAAAAAGGACAAAATAAGAGCAAAAAAACACAGCCCAATTTTAACAAGTATTTTTTGGACTAAATCAAAACTATAGCTGACGGAAGAACCAACGTCTAAATGACGTCTAGTGGTTTTTTTTTCATGAGATCTTTGAGCTCAGACCTGATGTTTAGTCTGTTCCTGTCTTACCTTTCGTTCAGGGAATTCCAGTAGATGGGCTCCATGTTGCTGGCGGTCGTTCCCAGTAAATCCAGTAGGAATACCATCAGGATCCAAAATCCATTCCCGCTCCTTCGACACGCCATCTCAACCCTGACACCCAGCATGTACTGCCCCATCTAAAAGAAAGCAGCAATATTGGTCGACTGGGGCACGCACAGCTGATTATTTTGTCTTTTTTCTTAAAAAAAAAACAACTAATCGAAATTAAATGTTTCTGTGAGTTAAAGTAAGATCAAAAAGATAGTCACGCGCAACCACATGGATCCGAAATGCTGGAAATAAAAACAGTTTCTTCAGTAGGCAGCGGAAACTTGCTCAATCCGTGCGTCCTGGTCTCCAAATCGACAGGTTCTTTTGCGCACTATTTAAGAGCCTTTCCCATGACTTTCCCATCAATGTCTCATTAGAAACAGTTTCTTCCAAAAAATCATTAGAGCTCGAGCAGATATCCACTGAATTTGATATTTTCACAGATTATCGCCTCCAGAAAGCAGTCTTTGCGCTCTAATTGTCTGTTTTCCTCGCTGAACAACGTTCCCTTGTTCTCTTTGGCTCTCTCTGTCTGATTTCTCTCCCATTACCTTGTTCTCTCACCTCCCAGCATATCTGGCCCAGATGAATTTCAATATTATCAATTTGTTTAGGAGATGAAGGCAGCAACAAAAACAAAACAGTTGGGAAAATGGTTAAAATAAGAATGATGCCACTTGTATCCACAGCTCCATCCTCATAAAAGAGACGCGTTGAAGCTCTGGGAGTCCAGTACAATCCTTTTTTCTCTCTCTCTTTTAATAGAAAACACACAGGCTGTAAATCCAGTAAATGTCCTTCGGTTTTCTTTTATGGAAAATGAAAATCCAACTCCAAAAAATAATAATAATAATCCGAGAGCAAATTCAGATGATAAAACTGAAGAGCTATAAAAGCGAGTGCATTCTAACCATGGCACACAGACCGGCGTGAAACTTGTGAAGTGATGAAGAAAATCAAAGATGCGACTCAGTGGGCTTCAGTCCCGCCTGGAAACGGATGTCTTTCAAACGGAGCGCATCGTTTGGAGAGCAGAAACCAATCGGCCCGAGGAGCGCGCTCCGTGCGTTATCTCATCCGTCTGTGCGCCTCGAAATCCCACCGGTTTGACTCGCCCTAATGCTCACAGCGCACTGACAGAGCGACTGGCTTGTTTGAGAGGAGGCGGAGGAGGAGGAGGGGAAAGGGGGACGTGGATGAATGGCAAAAAAAAAAAAAAAAATCCCCATCCTCCGACTGGCAGGCAGGGCGCACTGACGGAGCGCAATTCTTCCAGGCTTTCCGCGGAGAGGGGAGGAGAGCGGACCTCCTCCTTTTTAAGAGTTTCAGGAGGGCCCCCCCTTAAGACTCGGACCTCTGGACTCCCAGGCGCAGTATTCTGCCTTCTTTTAGACACTAAAAAGCAACTCCCCCAGTAGTACACACACACACACAGCTCATTTAGAGGCTCACCAATCTGCTGCGCAAACTGACTGAAGAGTAAGAGCGCCCTCAGTGCGCTCTCTGAGCATCACATTGAGGGTTTCATTGTAAAAGATGACTCAAGATGCCGTTTCAAAAGGATATTTGGTTAATCTAACACCCCGTAGGAGCCCTAAATGGGATTTAAAGAACAGTTTCCCAGATGGATCACTCACTTGCATTTTTTATTTTATTTTTTTCCCTACTTACTTTGATTCTGTTTTATTTTGCTATATTTTATTCATCTAAAGCACTTTGCATTGTCTTTGTACTGAATTGTGCTATACAAATACATTTGCCTTGCCTTGCCTTGCCTTGCCTTCACTGGAAAGCTATGGCGCTACTTTTGGATGGATTTGAGTTCATTTCAAGAGAAAATAGATCATGATGGGAAATCCATGTGTAGCAGCTATTAACAGAGAGAAACTGCGCGTTTCAAGATGCAGGGGACCTTTTTTTATATCCTGCAGCAACAGCAGTGAGGTGATGAGCTGTGTGACAGGATCTACTGAGGACCACACACACACCTCTGTTTACTCTGAGCCCCCTGTCTTACCACTAATACCACTTTCACACACTAACGCAGTGTGTGTTAGGAGTCTCAAAGCTGTGGCTGCACTGCCCCCATGTGGCAGGAACTGTGCACATATAGAGACTCTCCAGGTAATGTTGGTTTCCGACTCTCAAAGTTGAATTCATTCCGTGTGGTTTTCTTTTTCATTGGTAAAATAAAAATCTTCCTTTTAAAGTTTCACATCCTCAGCAAACATTTGGATTTCCTTAAACAGAAAACCTTTAACTAGTCTGTCTATATTTGACTGTGTTGACTTAAGTGCCTTCAGATGACTTGTGTTTTCAGTTGGCACCAAATAAATAAACTAAATCGAATCTAAATTTGTGGAAGTTGTGCTTTGTTGACTTGTTTTGGGGTTTTTTGGCAGTAAAATCGCCTCTCATTTAAAAAGGAAACGTTTCACAGAACATCATTAGAGTAAATACCTCAATAGCTTTCTCTAACAATCAGTTATGTTCCTGAAACTGAAAACCATGTGCTTGAGTCAACAGGTAAAATCTATTAATCTGCAGTTAAAGTAAATCCATGTTTGAATTTTTGCACACTAACATATCCTTTAGCTTGCTTTACGTATTTAAAAGTTGGCATTATTTATGTTTTTTTTTTTAAATCACCAGCAAATCAGTGTGTCTAATATTCTGATTTTGTTTCCCCCACAAATAATGTATTGATGCAGAGATAGTTGTGTTTGCTGTCAGCATCTTGCATCTATATAATTTCTAATGAATTATTACTGTCACGGTCTTAGCTCTTTTAAGGTTTCTTTGAGTTTTCAGTTTTATGTTTATTCAAGTTTTTCTTTGTTTTCTAATTTTATATTTTAATTCATATTTTATTGTGTTTTTCTGGATCTATTTGAGTTCTTAAATTTTTCTATGTTGCCTTCTGTTGCCCTCTTGTGTTCCCCTTTTCCATATCTCCTTTCTAGAAGCCTCTGTTCACACCTGCTCCCAATCAGCTCGTTAGTCCTGTCTTTGTTCAGTCTCCATAAATGCTCTGCCTGTGCTGTTCCTCAGTGCTGGTTCCTCGTCTTTCAACGTCTTTCCCTGGCTCCTATAGTGCACGTCTTCCCTGACATCTCCATGGTTTTGGTTTGTCTTGAATTTTTAAGTTGGATTTTTGGATTCCTGCCTATGTTACCTGAGAACACTCTATTAAAACTACAAAAACGTACCTCTGCCTCCCTGTCTCTGCCTTTGGGTCCTTAAAAAACCTCAACCAAACCCTGACAGTTTCTTTGGGAAGATAAATGGACAGACAGTTGTCTTTTGACTTCTCAATAATAGCTTCTCAGCTTTTGGTTTTGTTTTACAATACAGACATTTAATTTTAACTAGTGTTGCACCAATACCGATACCAGTATCGGACGGGGCCCCGATACTGCCCTAAAATGGTGGTATCGGTATCGGCGAGTACCAACAAATAGGGCACCGATACCATTTTGAGAGCCATAAGTTTATTCAACTTTTGTCACCCACTCTTGGTAGGCAATAAAAAGTTCTACTGGATTCACTTTGTATTAGATTTTTTAGGTAGGCAGCAGCTTGACAAATCCATGATGGCAATTATTTTACATTATTATGGTATCGGTATTGGCCGATACTGCACAGCCAGGTATCGGGTATCGGTATCGGGGCCAAAAAATGGCATCGGCGCAATACTAATTTTAACAGAAGATATTTTTCATTCTGGTTGTCTATACTTCCTTACCATCTTTAGCACTATGGAATGTAATCACTTGGAGGGGTGTCTTGGAGTTGAACTTAGAACCTCTTGCAGTCAAAGTGACAAACCTTTAATCAGTGGGATGAGGGCTTTGAGTCTACCTTTACCAGCTGACACTTTGAGGCAAATCACCTAATTGAATGCACTTTCTGTTGCTTATTCAAACCTTTTTCACATTTGCTCTTTTTAAAAAGACAGAGATCACAGTGAAATGGATGTAATTTTAAGTAGAGCAAAACAAGAGTGGTACATCATAGAGAATTAAAAGTAAAATTTACTCCACCATGATTAAACTCTGAGAATGTTCATGTATTCAGCCCCTTTTACTGGGACACATATAAATCTACTGAAACCAGTTGCTATGTAAAGATGTATTATTAGTGAATACAATTCAATTGTTGTGATTCATTATTAGTATAAATCAAGCTGTTCTATGCAGAATCAGATTTTTTTAGCAAACATTAGCAAATAATCTCTATAATTTGGAGGCTGTTAAATGTAGATGTGCACATTTGGTTTTAGTGTAGCTCTTCTCAGAGCTCAGTTAGAGATCCCTCTGCAGCTTCAGCAACTAAGATGGCACAGCTGATTCTGCTCTGCCGATCAGAAGCAGAGCATGAAGCTGGGAAAGGAGCTGATACCTTGGCCAGTTGGCAGCTTATGGGCTGTGTGTTTTTTTTAGCTTTAAGTTCTCCACTTTATGAAACATGATCTGGTGCTGTCACTCCTGTTGGTGGCTGTATGTTTTTGCTTGGCAGGAGGAAGGTAAACAAACTAGTTTTCCACTCATTGTGAAATGATGGTGTAGGTTATTTTTGGTGGGTTGTTTGGCTTTGTTTCCCTTTATTACTTCTTTTTGGGTATATTGAATTAACTACACATTGATTTTGAAATTGTTTTTTTTTTTCTTTATTAAACAACTGATACATTTCGATATTTTTTTGACATCATCTATATTCCTACATCTTCAACCAGTGACTTTAACTGCCTGGGAATTTATCCAGGATTTAACATCAACAAGTGGTTTGATGAAGTAAATGTAATGATCTCAGAGCTCAACTTGGACTCTCAAACATCAAATCATATCCGTACATCAGTATGACCTGTGTTTTCCTTTGGCAACCTTCTGTTAAGAAAAACATCTAACTTTTTGTATCAGACATAAGCCAACTGAAGGATTCTTCACATCTCTGTTTCTCCATAGACTTCAAGGAATGCAACAATTTGGGGGCTTATCCGGGATTTGGACCTAAGCTTTGCTTAAATGAAATAATTTGCTTTTCTATTCTTATGTAGTTATATAGTGCTTTTCTGTTCTTTTCTACAAATGTATATAATCTTTATTTGTGAAATTGTATTGCATAGTTATAGCTGGTATGCCCTTTATATCCTTAATATAGGGGAAGTAACAATTTGGGGGTTAAAGCAAGATTTCAAACTAGAATATCTCAAACTCTAAAACAATAAAACCTCTGTCTACATTCCTAAGTTCCATGAACTTACCCTTTGCCAAACTCTTCTCTAAAGCAAAATCGATGTCATTAAGCGAGAGTGGACGATAAGAATTCCTTCATATCGAAGACAACATTTATGCATGTAATAACTTTTTGGTTTTACCAGAGTTACCATTCTTTGTCAAGACAGGGTTAGAAAATGGAACAATCTGTGGCCTGCCTTAGGTTTTAAGTGTGGGAGCTTTCTTTAGAGTAAAGCAAAGCATCTCATTCTATGTCAAGAAATCTTGACTGTGCCACAACATTTTAATAACCAGTTGTTTTAATAACAAATTGCTGAAAACTGGTTTGTAAGTGTCTTTTAAAAAGTATGTGGGAAGTGCTTGAAATAGGGTTTTGGTAGGCTGATTTCCACTCCCGCAGGCATTCCATTAGTTGGGTGATCCATTGGATCCCGGCGCTGCAGCTTAGTGCAATACAATTCCAGTTACCTACTGAGAGGGAGGAAACAAGCAGAGGAAAAGCCTCGTAGTATTTGTCACTGAAAATGTTTCCTTTTACATTAGCCGAAAAGGGGGAGTGCTTGTCTCCCCGCTTCTACCTCCTGCTGCTTCTGCACAGCCTGGGAAACAAAAGTGAAGAATTATCGGAGAGTTGTGTATGAAAGAGAGGTAGACCTGATGCCGTCATGCTCAAGGGCACAACGGCAAATCAGTGATCACAAAGCAGAGTCTGCGGGCTGAGGGATCACTGTAGACAGCAGCACAGAATAGTAGCTTGCTTAGAGAAACAAGAAAAAAACATGGTGAGGATGTTTTAGAGAGCGGAGGAAGGCAGGGAGAAAATAAAGCAGACATGTAGCTGTTTGTGTTTCGGTGCCCTCTGGAAAACCTTGGCAGGGCTGCTGACAGAGCTAAATGTAGCAGAGGAAGATAGACCGGTTTAGAGACAACAGTGGTTCAGAGGTGGAGCTGGCATGAAAAACAAACCTCCCGCTCTGTCTGGGAATCCGACTGTGTGGGAAAACCGGCCGGCCGTCTTGCTGGTTTCACCTGAACAAGTTGATGTGTAAGAGTAAGATGATGCTCACACGCTGCTGGTATGTTAGGTGT